TGACAACATCCCAAGACATCTTAATTTGTTGCAAGGTAAATTGCAGCAGCATCACCCTGAAGAATATAGCTTCTCAGTTGTAGACGTGCAAAACCATCATCACTCCCCTTTGAAAGAATCTGTTTTACAAAACAGAAGTTTTTGGTGTTTTGTTTTTAATGATTCTACCAGCACTGAGAGATTCAGCAACAACTCTGGAGTTGTTATCCCTGTATTCAGAACAGAAGTCTACTTTAAGAATAAATAAATAAATAAATTTTAAAAGCCCACTTGTGAGGAGACTTGCAGACTCTGACTAGCAAGACCAGTGGTCAGTGACTCCAGAAACAAGAAAGGAGGTCAATGGAGTGAAGCCCAGGTTCCCAAGGTCAACAGGAAATCCCCATTTTCCAGTTCTCAGCTCTTGTGCTGTTTTCTGGGACTCCCACACTCATCTTATTTCTCAAGTTTAGACCTCTTCCCTTTAATAGGGCAGACAGCACTGGAGCATGCTATAATTCACAGCACACTGTCTAGAAGAGAGGTGTCAATACTAGATGGCAAAGCATTTTTCTGTATAGGATGAAGCTGCACTGTCTTTCAGGCATACATTTGGTCACTCCCATCCTTATCATAGAATCACAGGATTGTAGTGGTTGGAAGGGACCTTTGGAGGTCATCTAGTCCAACTTCTGACAAAGCACATTCTCCAGTGTAGTTTCCACAGGAAAGCGTCCAAGTTGTTTTGAATATCTCCAGAGAAGGAGACTCCACAACCTCTCTGGCTCTTTGCCCACAGGGGCCTCCAGACACAGTATTGTATTTCTCACCCCAAGCTTCCTGCTGAATGCTAGGCCAAGTAATCCCTATGGAAAAGTCTTCTAACAGATGCTAGTTTGATGGCCATCATTTAAAACCCTTTCACTTCTAATGCACTTCTGGTTCTGCAAAAACACGCCTTTTAAGGATAAGGTATTCAGACTGGATGGCTATTAAAAAATCAGCCCCTGACAGAATCTGAAAGACCTTCGGGTGTCCCTACTTGTCTTTCCAACCAGAAAAATCACTCTTCACCTCTACCCACTGTGTCATATTATGACACTGTAATAAGCAACCTTCTCCAAAATTTCTTGTTTGATGATATTTGCCTCTTGTCCTAATTTCTCATTTTTCACTTGTGCCCTACTCCCTCATGAATTTGGAATCTACTGCAGCAAAAAGATGCTGAGTTTAACATAGCAAAGCTTGCCAGAAATTATTCTGATGCAACAAAAATCGTGTCTCCTAGAGGAAAACAAGGCAAAAAGCCCAGATTCACGGGTTTCTACCCTAAGACCTTCTCTAAATTACCATGTTTTCATTTTTACTTTGTTGGTTTAATTTGGTCAGACAATTAGGGAAGCTGGGAGTTAGTTTTTCCACCTAGTCTTTTGTTTTGGTGTTTTGTTTAAGAAAAAAAGAAGAAAGAAAGGAATTGGATTTCACTCTCTAAATGCTCATGTCTTAAGTACCTTCTACCAAAGGCATAGACAAAAGCCTCAAAATCTTTACCAGTTTCTAGTGGTACTGATTCCCTTTCTGAGGCTATTAAAATGGCTCCATTTAATAACTGATAAAGGTGCCTTTAACATGTGTCCATTACAAGGAGTATTGTGCACTGTTACAATTGTTCAATAGATGTCCAGTCACAGACAGACAGTGCTTCAGACTCACCCTCTCTTCAGCTCAGCATAATGCATTGTCCTGTCAGGGATTAATGGAAATGCCACTCACATTAGATGCTAATTCTGGTAGCAACTCTGTTACTCCACAAGTGCTATGGCTGCTTCTGGCAACTAACACTAGAAGCAGGTGCTGTACACTGAGGAGAAGAACAATGAGAAACCAAAGTGAAGAGCACAATACAAGAACCTATTCACAATGCAGGAAGAAGACCGTGGACAAGGGAAAAGAGACATTTGAAAAGGGACGTAAAAATAATGGAAAAGAAAGAAACAGTCAGGGAAAAAAAAAAGGAAAAAAGAAAAAAAGATAAAAAGAAGAAAGGATCCCAAAGATTAAAGAAGAAGAAGAAAAAAAGATCAAGAACCAAATAGCAAGTGAATGCACAAGATTGTAGAAAACGTCTTTTCTCAGCAATGGCCAACACATAACACCATCAGAAAATCATCACTAGAAAGTTGTTCAATAGTAGGGAAGAGCAGCAGAAAGAAAGGACAGAGAGTGATGCCAGCGAGGTAAGATTACAGCACTATCTTAACCCTCTGAACACCTTAAAGCATTACTGCCTTATAACTCAGGATAAAAATGTTTAATATGCTGAATACATGGTTGAATACTAATTATTAATGAAAATAAGAGTCTTAAAATTAATTATTGGATCTCTACTCCAAGAAAAATATACCAGGAGAGAAATGCAGAAACACTGTAAAAGCCAGGCAGTTGAGAGAGTTCTCAGCTCCACTGTGGATCATTCCAAGTTGTGTTTAGATAATAGATTTCAGAATAATTTGAATTGCTTCCTCAATTATGCTTAAAATGGGCTGAGAAGCACCTAGGTTCAAGCTATTTTATGCTACATCACTTTTGTCATGTTTTCATTCTACTACTTTGCCTATTTACCACGGACTGCATATGGCACAGTGGGAAAGAGGAAATCCAAGACACTTGGATTTCCTCTCTTGGAATCACAGAATCACCGAACCACAGAATGACCAGGAGTGGAAGGGACCTCAAGGATCATGAATTTCCAACCCCCCCGCCACAGGCAGGGTCACCAACCTCCCCATTTAATGCTAGACCAGGCTGCCCAGGGCCCCATCCAACCTGGTCTTAACACCTCCAGGGATGGGGCATCCACAACCTCTCTGGGCAGCCTGTTCCAGCACCTCATCACTCTCATAGTAAAGAACTTCCCCCTGACATGCAACCTAAATCTTCCCTCCCTTAACTTAAAACCATTTCTGCAACATAGAAAATCTTTTGTGTTTGAAAGAAACTCCTACGTATTTAAACGGTTTGCAAATCTAGCTAGATATGCCAGTCACGAAACAAAACAAAAAAATAATAATCTAATAAATAGCACTACTCCATCAGCAATCTGTCAAACAAACATAGGCCTTTCACCTTGTATTACAGAAGTTTTTTACAAGAGAAAGTGAAGAGAGAGAAGGAGGGGGCTATTCAGAGATGTTTATCAAACCTAAAAAGCCAGACCCTGGCAGCAGATGGTAGATGGAAAACAGGAAGATTTTGTGAAAGAATAGAACAGTATAAAAATATTGGAACGAAGGAATACATCATGACATTAGGAAATAAGGAAATTTAAAGACGTACAAGGAAATACATTATACACTGTCTTTTGCTCTATTAATAGATAAAAATGAGGCAATGGAATAAATACAAGGGAAATGATAAAGCAAAAGCAGTCTATCATTAACAAGCTTATGCATTCCAAATCACATTAAGTCTAGATTTGGAAAGAGTATACTAAACAATAATGTTTTCAAATTTCTTCTGAGGGTGGAGAAACGGGGACTACTGTTAGCATGCCATAGGTGTCTGGTGCTTTGTATTAAAAAGCTGAGGTCATGCGATAAAGCAGATAAGCTATTAAATAAGAAAGCTCTCTTTGGTTCACTATGTCAGTGTGCTGCAAATCTCTAGAGGCAGATAGGGTAGGTACACCAAAAGTCAAACTGTATGCTTCTGTCACCTCCCTGCTCTTATTTATCAGGCATCTACTACGATCAGACAGGAAGAATAGGCTAGACAGGCTAGATGGATCTTTGGTTTAACCTCTTTTCTATTTCTATAACCTTGACTAAGAAATCATACGTTGAGGAGATGGAAGAGAATTTATTAATGATGGTATGTTTGACAGCCACTACACTGGATTTAAAATATCTTGGCAGGTGCCAAAGACAATGTAGGCTGCTACCTAACTAGTCACCCCACAGGCCAAACAAACATATATCCTGTAACCCCTCTTGAGTCTCATCAACACCAGTTAGTACTTTTATTGCTCACTTGTGTAGTGCTCCACACATTCCCAGGCTCCAACCCACCCCTTTTATATCTTCATTTGCAAGCCTTTACTACTCCACATCAGGATCTTTCTCAAATAATTCTGATTGTATTGTCCAGAAAATTTGCTGATTTTGTAAATGCATATAAATTAGATGTCAAAATACTTTTTTTTTAATACTTTTTTTTTTTTTTTTTTGTAGTCCAAAATAATATTCTAGATTCAGAGCTACATGGTGAATTTTCGCTTCTCAGTTTTAGTTTCTGTCCCCCCCCTCGTTCCTTGCATAACTCTGCCAGTGCTATTTCCTCCTGATTTGCAGTATGCTTCTGGACTTCAGTACCAAAGTAACAACAATTTATTGTTCTCTAAAGATATTTACACCTAAGAATCCAAGTTGATCAAGGTATTAACCAGTTAGTCACAGAAATCTCAGGAAAAGACTGAATCTTTTAGTTTACTTCAGAACAAGTGTATTACTGTAGCCTGCAACTCTTGCTATTCAAGCAATATTTTTACATGTAGAAGTTTCAGCCTGTGCTAAATTTCTTACCACGCTCCCAAACTAATTTCTGTGGTAACCAGGTAAGTTAGGTTCAAGCCTTTAAAGTATAAATCCATTCTCCTCTGTTACAAAGGTGCTGTCCTATGAGCCATAAGAGAGGAGCTCATCATTACTAAAACCATGTATTTCCCTTCAAATCCACAAACAACTTTCTACAGGTTATTCATATATTTACGTGAATAAATTGCAACCACTACCAGTTTGCTTGGGCAAGATTCATTTCACAAATTCCTCAGCATAACCTTAGCTTCTGACAGCTCCAACTACATGAACAAGCACTTGATGACCAGATGTGAACAACATGTAAGATCTAACTTTCATTTTATAAAGTTACTTTTCCCCAACATAACTGTATTAAAACAGAGCTTCCTAGCAAGTCATTGAATCTAATTTTTAATATGCTATTTGTATGTATAAAGCAGATCTTACCTTGATCTTCTGAAGAAACTGGTGACCTGAAATAGAACAACAAAGTCCAGTCAACCTTTGCCATGAAAAGGTCACAAATGAGTTTCAAAAGTCTCTATGGGAAATGAGATATGGAGGAATTGAAAGGTTTTATTCTTGAGCTTATTTCAAAGGAGAGATTGTAAAGTAGCTAAGAAAAAAAAGGAGCAGAAAGCGCAGAGACCTTCTCTAGCAGCAGGTCCTGCAAGCAAGAATGGCCATATGGAACCACATTCATACAGCTGTGGTCTCACTGTTAAGCGCTCATGCCACAAGTTTCTATAGGTACTTGGCAAAGAACTTTACCACTATTACTGTTAGAAATAGCTCATGCTACTTTTGATCCTGATCCTCCAAAGATTATCAGATGGACAACAGTTAAGTGTGGGCCAGGAAGAACCCTCACGACTAGAGGCAATGGAGGAAAGGGTAGCTTCAGAGGAACTCACAACTACTAATGCCATTTTTATCATGAGTCAGTGTGATGTAGAGTATAAAACATTAATTGGAATTAACAAATTCATAATAATGGCACTTTCACAAAAGCAACATAAATGGAACAACAACAAAATCAAGGTTAAAAAAAAAACAAAATCAACAGTGTCTGGACAGTGAAAAGAACAAGACAGCAGCAACATGTTATAGGCTATCCTACCAGTGGTTTAAACCTCTGGTAATACTCCAAGAGCAAGGGGGTTATAAAACATGAGGGACCACTCAGTGCTGATAAACAGAAGGTCCCCACTGAATCCCAGGGATGGGATTCACAGCTCCCATAGCTAAAGATCTCACTCATCATGCTGTGAGTACCCATGGCAAAGGAACATAAAGAGGTGTAAAGTACTGGCCTTTCATTTTTGTCTTTGCTGCAGTAGCTTGGCTCAGCAAAACTGGGCTAATTGTATAGCCAAATCTGGGCTGTGCTTTGCTTATTGAGACCCAGATGACAGCACACAGTGGATTGGAACACTGCCTCATCACCTCCCTGATGATGATTTTCAACTGCATGTATAGCCTTCCCACACAGCTAACAATGAGTATATTCCTGTAGTGAATGGACAACTCTCACTTCTGTTGCAATACATATTTAATTTTTGCATCAAAGTACAAAAAAACAAATTACAAAAGATTTTAAAATGTTAGTATTGCCAGCAAGCAGATCAAAGTTGACATGAGAAAAGCAGCCAGAGAAGGAAGGAAAGTTAAAGTTTTAACAGAGTCAGCGGGGGCTAGAGGGAAAGCAAAGGGTTAGGAATCCTGGATTTAAAGGAATAAAGGAACTGAGGATACTCCATATCACAAGACTGAAAAGTAAGGCTGAAAGATTATATAGGACATCAGAAACAGATACTCAAATATGTGGATGCAAATCGGAAAGATGGAAAGAAAAGGGAGGTTTCCTGATGAGGTATGCAAATCTTTATTTTGAAGAAGAGAGACATTCAAACAGAAAGAGACAAAAGAGTTACAGCACAGCTGGAGCGATGGTCACTGTGAAAGGAAAAATGTGATTGCCTAATTAAGATTCTGACTGTGCTAGAAGCCAATGTATCTGTATGGATCAGAATTAATTAATCCACTATTGCCATTAAATTCTGTGATTGCTGCTGCACATCCTAAGCATGTGTCCTGCTCTGCTGTCAGCCAAACCAGCTATGCCCTTCAACTTCATCTACGTCTGTGGAAATATGGTAAAAATTAAGGCAACTCAGAGGATCAGTAGTCAAGATTAGGACTGTTTCACAGCTTTCATCAGCGTGTCAGTACCCACCAGAAGCCCTTCTGAAGGTCAAAACTCAACACAGCATTTCTGAAAAGGTTATATCATGTAAAAATGGCCATATCAAAAGGTGTGATTATTTAGGTTTTTAAAGATAATTTTTACATGCAAGAATCATGGTAGGGTCCTTAGCTGAAATATCTTGGCACTCCACCTATTTCTAACAAAGTATCTCACAGTAACAGCTGAATTTATTCCTTGACTTCATTTCTTAATTGCACAGTTTCATCACCTTTTAGACTTTTATTTGAAACAATAAAATAAACATTTGGCTTATCCCATAATTTAGCTCTTCATAATGCCTTGTAAAGCAGATGTTAGTAACTCCTTAAAAAATCAACAAGAGATGCCATCACACTACCACCACCACCTTCTCAATCAAAACACTGAAGTGTGCAATGGAAAATAGGTCTGTGCACATTTAATGTGCCCCAAATTAGTATGTACTTTGCGAAGTACGAATCCCATGCTCCTTTTTTTGCATGCTTTGAACATATAGTGGTTAAACAGTGAGAAATCTAACAGGTACTACTGTTGCTACTAGCAGTGTTTTCATTTGTCAGGCTTCATCAGGCATCTTTTGAGGTTGCATAGGCTGGTATCTTGAGAAGATAGGTTTATGTACACAAGATGCTGTGATTATGTATGCATATCTCTGCCTCACACTAATAAAGTTTGAGCCTGTTGGCTGATTTCCCACGTTATTAACAGAGGAGGTGGAGATCCAATTACTACTTTCATAAGGAAAGGCAATAGCAGGAGGTCAAACTTTTTGAGGTAGCTGTGAAGGCACAAAGAAAGGTTCTGAATATCTCAGTAACAGGAAAACCGCAACACGAGCTTCCAAATTTGAGATACCAAAGGACCAAAGACAATAAACTAGACTTCCTTTATTCCACTACTCACAGAAAGAGTATTTTGACAGAGAGAAAAGGATTTTCAACAATTTTGTATAATTTCAGGCCATACATTTAAGCAGAGGATGGAATTTTCCAAACCATTCAAGCACTGTCCTAACAACTCCAACAGGAGTCGTGCCTGTAACTACAGTGTAAGGAAGTGAAGAATTGCCGACTTCTTTTAAAGTCCACTTTGTTAGTGTTGGGCACTTTATGCATTGTTTGGTCTACCCCATTCTTATGAGAGGGAGGAAGGAAATGAAAAAAAGAAAGCATAATGACCTATTTTAAACCACATCCACTCTTTCCACAGCCACAAGGGACTTACCTGACAACAAAAAAATCTGGTGGATGCTCATATTTCTAGTCACACATCTTTTTTTCAGTTCTTTAAGAAGTGTGAGGGATATACTGTGGCAGCAATGGTCACCAAATGGGTGCCCTGAGAACGGTGGATTCCAAGCTGCTAACATCCACATAGGAAGTGTCTAACTAGCTCCTATCTGAGAATGATTCTAGCTATGTGCTTTACAGCCACAAAGAGGCAAAACATCGATCACAACTTCCGTGCCTTATAAAAAGTAGAGACAAATCAGAGGTACATCAGAAGAACTAACATGCTGTCAAGATCTGTATCCCCACCTGGGTCAATACACTTTGCAAATTAAATCAAGAAGATATTTCCATTTAGTTCAACCTTCAGGAAAAGGATCTGGCACTGCAATATCCTGATCTTGGATACTTTGGAATGGAACTGCTTATTTTTTTGACATCAACAACAGTTACTTGTTTATACTCTTCTCTTGCTGGAAAATTAACAGTGTTGCCAAAACTAACTTGTAGGTTCATCATCACCACTACCAGCCCTTCCCCAAAAGAGAGTAAAGAGGTCCATGTGTCTATGACTGGCTACGTTTTCAGAATTCTTATGTTCTTCTACCAGCATTGCTCTTTCCCATACATAGAAGTGAAAGGGAAGACCAATTGCAAATGTTTTCACCAAAAAGTATCAATCTGATTTCTCTGTCCTGAGTTTGCTGGTGCTTTATGAAGAGTTTTTGCTGTACTGATTAATTGAAGAGAATACAAATCTTACTACAACAACAGGAAGAGGATCAGAAAGAATGAGGAAGAAAGCATGTTGCCACCTTTTCATGCTGTTCCCTTCTTTTCATGCATCCCTTCTTTTGCTACAAGTCCTGCAGTGTTGTTCTCCCGATGTACAGCATGAAGTTCTACTCAGAAGAGATATTAGCACCTGCAAGCCTCAGTCTACAATGGAAGTTGCATGTTGCCTAGTCTACAAAAGCCAAGCACTATACTTCGTCCTTACACAAGGTGCACAAATAAATTCCAGCAACTTAGCTTATGCGCAAAAAAGCCTGATAATGAAAAAAGACCCTGATCATCCATTCATGAGATGCTTCCAGGAAATGAGAAGACTCATGGTATTGAAGGCATGAGACGTGTCCTCCTAAAACAGCACTGTGCCTCAGAGTTCAGAAACTGATCCAAAGCTCACTGATATTTTTCTGCTCACTCTTTCAGTGTTTAGATCTTTTGCTGGCATAGGTCTAATCCCTGGTGCAGACAAGACAGTTTTCTGTATCATGAAAGCCTTCTCCAAACAGCCAAATACTAGGAGTTGTTTCCCAGTGCATTCCCCAGTGTGCAAGCATTAGATTTATTCAGTACTGGAGGGGTGGAGGAAGAAATATTCATTTCTAAGCAAGGCAGGTCAGGGGGCTGTCACAATTTAGTGCCTAGTCAACAAAGACTTCCAAAATCCAGAAGAACACAGCCTACCTCCAGCAGACGAATTCTAACAAAATTTCAGCAAATCGGTACATTATTCATGAAGACAAAAGCCTCTGGAGAAACAAACCCAGAGCTGATGTGAAGTTGCTATTTTAATCAATAAACCTGTAGCAGAAACCATCTGCACTAGGCCTATTTAAAAACAGCCATTTAGAATTTAAAGGCCAAATAACAATCCACATGCAGCAATTTTGCTGGGTTTTATGACCATTCGTCTTTTTCCCCAGCTCAAGCAACGTATTTTTGCAAACTTTCTCATTCACATACCTGCCTGTGAGCAATGGAGAGAAAGAGCTTTTAGATTAAATCTGCTTCTCCTCATTTTGTGTGTTCATCTCTTCAGAAATGAAAATAGCATTCCTGCAGGGATTTATTCACATATTCTCTGATTGGAATGAAAGATAAGTCTTAGCACATTAATTATTTTTTTTAAAAAAAAGGTGAGGAAACTCCCTCATTCAGCAAACTGCATCAAAACCTCTGGGACTGGCAAATTCCCTGCAGCTGCAGA